GGGGTGCAATTTCTCCAGATTACCTCAACAAATTAACAGCTGGAATGCCAAAGGTCTGCAATGCTGTAATTGCTGCAAATGGAGGATTCTTTGACGAAAGCAAAGTTTGATGTAAAAAAGATCTTATTTCAAATACAAATCATTATTTCTAACCTTGTCAATGTCTTGACTCCATTTTCTATTCATTTCACAACGTATGGTGGTGAATAAGTGTGACTTTTCGGGAAAACACAAAATTGTTTGGGTGACCCCAAACTTTTGAACGGTAGTGTATATTCTGACAGCCTGGAGGAAATATTCACACCCAGATATTTATTATTCCCAGACTTTAGCAGTGTGGAAGATATACTCACACATTATGGGTAAAACTATGGATTTACTCCAGTTAATGGAGTAGTCTGAGATGAATGAGAATTTATCTGTAAGTATGATTATCTTGTGGTGTACATTTTCTGTTTAAATTCCTTTAATAGTTTTATTTCGATAAAAATTATGATAGCGGCTGCTAGTGGTTCTATAAAAATAGCGAATAGTGAGGGAGAAAGTCGGCAACCCTGCCTGGTAACCCTCTGAAGACTAAAGTTTGGAGAAGTATGATCATTTGTCCTGACAGAAGCTCTTGGGGAACTGAGTTTCCAAATCCAAAATTATTTAAAGTAGCAAATAGAAATTTCCAATTTACCCCGTTAAATGCTTTCTCTGCATCTAAAGAAACAACTGTAGTTCTCAGGTCGTAGTCTATTACATCAAGTAGCCTGTATGTATTGTTATTGGAGTGCCCGCCCTTAATAAATCCTGTTTAGTCGAGGTGTATTATACCAGGAGTGACCTTCTCTTGCCTTCTTGCTAGCGTTTTGCAGATGATTTTAAGATCTGCGTTAATAAGTGATATTGGGCGCTAACTGGAACGGGAGTGTCGGTTCTTTGTCTGGTTTAAGGAGCAGGCTGATATTAGAGTTCATTGTTGGAGGCAACTTGCAAGTACCCCTAATTTGCATTTCCATCCTATAGAATGTGGGCACAAGTATTTCACAGAATTCCTTGTAGAATTCAGCAGGAAAACCGTTTGGCCCAGAAGCTTAATTATTCAGCATAGGTAAGAGGGTTAACAGTTAAAGAAAAGGTGTAGGGATTATCGATACTGTGCTAAAGCACATTTCTTTACTCAAGTTTTTTAAGACTTTGACCTCCAAGTTACATAGATATCCTTCAGATACAGATATTTTTTGAAGTGGTGAGAGAATAGGAAGGGATCCTGGCGTCGGCTTGACACAAGTGTATTAGGGCTGCTGTGGCTGAGGAGATAGAGCGGGTTGTCTGTTAATTGGAAGGTCAGCGGTTCAGTCCCCAGCTCCTCCAGGCTACGTGTCCTTGAGCAAGATGCTGAACCCCGAATTGCTGTTCCATGAGTGTGTGTGAATGTTAGTTTATGTTTGAGCACTTAAGCGTAATTTATACTTCTGCGTCGAATCGACAGCGTAGGCTATGGGGCAACACAGAGGCTACGACATCGCCTGACGTGCACCTCCTCAAAAATGTAACTACACGTCGAGGCGACGCAGACCGTAAGCACTGTGATTGGTCGACTTGCTAGCATTTCCGGCCTGTACTTCTTCGCCTGTTTCAATTTCAGTTGATTTTCCATCAGTGAAGAAAGCAAACATGGATCAAGTCGAGGACCGTTTGGTAGAGGAAATCAGCAAGTACACGCATTTGTACGACTCTTCTTCGGTAAATTATAAAGACTGTCAGCTGGCAACAAATTCGTGGAGAGAAATTTCCTCGAACGTGGGTTTGGAGGTGGCGGAATGTGTGAGGCAATGGAAAAACTTGAGGGACAAGTACGTTCGCCTCCGCAAAAAAATTGCCACGAAGAGTGGGGACCGAGGCGGAAAAAAAGTCTCTGCCTTTTATATGTTTTTGTCTGGGTTGGCACCCCACGTGAAGCACCGGGAAACGGAGTCAAATTACAACAATAAGGTAAATATATCGTGTCTTTGTGTCGTAAACCTCTGCATTGTGTTAGGCTAGCTAACAAGCTAACAATGCTACCATAGCCCTTTTCTACAGGAAATGCTAACGTTACCAGACATTTGCCATCTTATTTGCTCTGCCTTTCTGTGCATATGCACTTGATGCATCCCCTATATGATGGTAAAAATGCCAAGACTAACTAAAATATTTATTTCTGAAACAATGCAGGATGGGAGCAATTCCAGCAACTCTAACTCCTCTGCTTCAGCTGCTGCGGGACCAGCTGGTAGTTCATCTTGCAGCGAGTCTACATCCTGCAGTGATGATCACCAGTCCCGCCACCACACCCCTCTGTCCCCCCCGGCCAACTCCTCTTTCCCCCCAGCCCAAGGATCCAACAGAAAAGGAAGAGGAAGGACCAGGAGGACTGTAGCATCCAAAAACAGATTCTGGAGTTGGAAGCACAGCGGTTGGAATTACAAAAGACACTTACCAAGGGCAACGATAAGAGTGCCAGGTTTGGACACACTGTTGCGGATATGCTGCGGAGACTGCCAGAGGAGTACAGACCACAGGCAATGTTCGATGTGTACAAGCTCCTGTTCGAGCGGCAGCAACCTCAATGAACACTCCGAAATGAGGACTATGATACTTTGCACTGTATCCACTTTCATTTGTATATAGTTTGTGCCTTTTGTAAATAGTGTGTGCCTCTTTTTTTTTTATAATAGAACAATAACAGGTCTTATTTACTACACTAGCAGTATACAGTTTGTGCCTTTTCTATTTAGTTTGCATTTCAGTTTATTTGAAGATTTAATTTAATATATTCAACATTTGTTCTTGCTGTTGTGTTGTTGCAGTGTGACAGAAAATAAATAACACAAGATTTCAAACCAGGTCTTTATTTACAAGGTTGCATGTCAGAATCATTTCTTTAACATACATACAATTTACTGTCCAAGATGGCACACTATCTTCTCCTGCCATGGCACAAGACCATTAGGTGACTGAAAGAAGGCCATCAGGTCATTCCGCACACCTATTGCAGCTCTGGTGGAACGAGCCCTTGACAGGTGACGTGGATCTAGTGGTTCCAGAAGATTTGTGTCCCCTGCCACTACTCTCCTCCACTCGCCTAGTGTCACCTGTGGTGACCCAGCAGTGTCAGAGTCTGCAAAATTAGCAGGGATGTATCTGCAGACAGGCGTGTTGGTCTCAGTGTGGGCCAGGAAGTTGTGTAGAGCAGCACAAGCTTTGACAATGTTCACTGCCTTGTCTGGGTGACATTCCAGTGACCGCCCAAGGATTCTCCACCTTGCCACCAAAATCCCAAGTGCATTCTCAATTACCCGCCACGCTGTTGAGTGACGGTGGTTGTAGGTCTGCTTATCCCTGGTCAAGTTTGTCCCTGTGTAGCAAAACAGAAAGTATTAATGAATAGGCAGTCACTGCATGCCAATGTAGCTATGATGTAGGACATTTTTCTTACAGTATGCAGACACTATGAAGGGTCTGTACGATTTAATGTGTGTATATAGGCATTTTACAGATCTATATATAGGTAAATGTACACAGAGACACATACAGTGAATATAAAAAGTTTACACTCCTCTGTTAAAATGCCAGGTTCTTGTGATGTAAAATAATGAGAGATAAATCATGTCAGAACTTTTTCTGCCTTTATTGTGTGGTATATCTAATGCTTTGGAAATTCTCTGTACCCTTCTCCTGACTGATATCTTTCAACAATGAGATGTCTCATTATTTTACATCACAAGAACCTGGCATTTCAGCAGGGGTGTGTAGACCTTCTATATCCACAGTACACACACACACACACACACACACACACACACACACACACGAAGTACAGTACTACTACATGAAATCGCTTTTGTCTGTGACATACCTGGAAAGGGACGCATGAGGTTGTTGTGCAGGGGGAATGCAGCATCACCAACAATCACGTATGGGAGTGGTACTCCTGTTCCTGGTGGGGGAAGGTTCAGTTTTTGTTCAAGAAGCATAGAACCAAATCAACTCTCCCTGAAGATACCCCCGTCACTTTCCCGTCCATAACCCCCGACATCCACCATGGTAAAGCGATATCTAGCATCGCAGGTAGCCATCAGAACAATGGAGTGTGCGCCCTTGTAGTTGAAGTAGTCGCTCCCGGCGTGCGGTGGTGCCTTTATGTTGACATGCTTTCTGTCTACGCTGCCAACACAGTTTGGAAAGTTCCATAGTCGCCAAAAATCAGCTGCAATAGCATCCCATTGGGCGGCTGAAGGGCAGGGAAGGAACTCTGGCTGTAGTGCTTCCCACAACGCTTTACAGACCTCCGAAATTATGGACGACACTGTGCTTGACGACAGTTTGTAGCTAGCTGCTACGGCCTGCTGGCTTCAACCTGAAGCTAAAATCCAAAGGGTGACTGCCAGTCTGTCTGATGTCCACGGGATACTGTGCGTAGACTGATGTACGATCAATGGCTGTACACGACAAACCAAATCGTCAAATCTAACTGCCGACATCCGAAAATATCTGAAATGCATTTCCTTGTCAATGTCTCTCAGTGGCCGAACCAACACAGAAAATTCTCCCTCTGTCTGCCTCAACCTGTTCAACGGTCGTACATGCCTCTTCTCCGACGCCTTCTCTCGTTTCTGCGTTTTAGTAATTTCAGTAGAAGTAGCTGCTGTTCAACATTGATCAGCTCCAACATAATCCACTCAGTTTCAGTCGCCATTGCTTGCAACACCACGAGTGGCTACTCACAACAGCGAAGAAAGTCAACACAGTGCGATCCCACTGTGTATATGTACATGTGTATATAAACCCCACCGCCACCTACCGTTGGAGGTGTAACTGCAGAACGACACAGACACTTACACACAAGTCTAAATGCCTGGCTACGTGCTAGCCTACGGCGTAGCTACGTACATAGCCCCTACGCAGGAGTATAAATCCGCCTTTAGGCTCAGTGAATGAATTTGAGTGTGAAAGGTGAATGCAGATGTAGTGTAAAAGCACTGAGTGGTCGAAAAGACTAGAAAGGCACTATATGGAGCATTTGTTATTATGGTTGAAGATCCGCTTTTAGCTGTATGATGCAGCAAACCTTCTGATGGATTGAGAGAATAGTAAGTGACCCCCTCAGCCTGTCAACAGCAGTCATCTTTCGGCTTAAGATGAAAGAGTAATTGTTGGATGTAGAAAGTGGTGTGTCTGATTATTGTAAAATACTTTTGTCTACAGCCTATGTGGTGAAAATGTAGGTCTTAGATGTTGCAAAGAGCAAACGCCAGCAAACGCAGTTAGTGAATCGGGGCGGATTTATGTGTGAAGCAGACATGTGAGTGTGTTACTGCCACTGTTAAAAGTCGGATATCTGATGGCTTAACAAAGTGTAATTTCGGATGTAGAAACAAAACATGTTTTTATCTCATCCTATAGGCCTACTATAGTATCCTACGTGATACGTTCTGTTATCTCTATATACAGACAAAATGGTTGCGTATCGCAGCAAATGAGGTTTAATTTCAATCTTCAGGTCATTACATGTAAATTATATCATTTGTAACACATCTTGTGTGGATTCTGAAAACAGATGATGTTTATTTAAATATATCCTTTATATCCCGACTAGTCCGCAGTTCAGAGGCAGTGCTTTTTACATCGGTTATAAAAAAGGCTGTTATGAGTTTGAATAGATAAGATCTGTTTTTCTTATAAATGTTGATTGATAAAATTCTATTTCAGCAAAATAGTAGGTCTATGTAGGCGTATATTTGTGATTTATTAGACTAAATCTAAACGGGTGGTCTCTCTTCCTGATCCTGTCCAGAGATGCCTTGACATGATTGGTTCAGAAACAACAAAAAGGTTGTAAATAAGATAGGTGTGTAAAAAGGGTTGTGTTTTGACTACAAGAAGGTTGAAGATATCCCCACAAAGCACCACTTTTATAGTCAGAAACTCTGTTGCTGTTTGCTGCTGTGTCTCACTTCAACTCCAATCCAAGATGTGTCTTGTTGCTGGTAGGTACACTCAAATTAACTATATTGGTGTGTTGCTTGTATTGGCTATTTTATCTGATCTTTTTAATATAAAAAAGTTTTTCTTCAAATAGCTCTGAATTGCATCGATGTCTCAAACCGTGATGATGCGGCAGGCAGGAGACAGCGGATAGCTCATTTCTTAAGGTAAAAAGGGGGGGCGTATTTGTGTTAACTAGTGATGTGTTTTAATACATGCCCAGAGATTCGTAAACTCAAACTATTTAATGTATTCTAGAAGAACATCACTTATTTGACGGAGAACGACCGGCGCACGATGGTATGTTATGTTTTAAATTTGACGTAGTTAATATTCTTTCTCAGTTTGCAATAAATATAATTATGTGTAAATTGTGTGGTTTTTTAGCCATTAACTGTCTCCTATGCCCTGTTTGTTGATCAAAGAAGACCCCGCTGTGACACAAAATGGGTGCAGAAATGATTCCCCGTGGGGCAACAGGTCTTCCCGAGTCTGAAGGTATGCTACATATATGCACATTTATTTTTATCACATATAGAGAAACTGTATGCGTATTAAATCATCTCATTTGTTTTATTCATATGTTTACTGTTTTTACTTGTATCCCTCCACAGCAATAGAGCCAGACTATGCTGAATTGGAAATCATTGTCATAGAGGACACACAGGAGAGAGGTATGTATCTACAGTTTACTTTAGAGTTTAAGAATAGGAGTGTATAAATAATAAATTTGTTTTGTTTTTTTCCTGTGATCAAAAAGAAAACAGCGCTCCCTCGTCACCATCGATCCCTGCTGAGGTCTATCCGGACACCCTCCAACTTTATCGCCTGGCTCAAATTGTTGCTGTTGGTCTGCTAGAATCATCTGTTAACGGATTGTTAACGGTTTGGACTGATGCACAGGATGTGAATTGGAGGGAAGACGAGCAATTGGTTGAAACGGCTACCGCCAGTGTTTCTCAACCTTTGGATTCCCTTGCTTTATCATTTAAATTGCACGCGTGGACCGAAGATGAACTCCAATCATGGCATGCACGCGGTTTTCCTGATGAACAGATGACAACTCATAGTAAGCCTTCCAACATATCTGTAACTGCCAAACAGCCAATTCATCAACCCATGGTAACATTGCCGGCAGGAGTGTATCAGCGACTGGTTACTCTAAAAAAGCCAATTTGCACACTAACCGGTTCACAAAATCTCTAATTCTACTCAGATAGCGTTTTTAATGTTAAAAACCCATCAGCAAATTAGAAATGAGAGTATGCGACTTAGGAAGGAGACTTTAGAGTTAAAAGCTAAAATAGATTATCTCTTAAAATTCAAAAGACTAACAAATTATACTGTGTCAGATTTCCCCCCCCCCCATTCTGTTTAGTAGCGTCTTTAATCATGAGTTGGAAACGCCTGTGCAAATCATTTCATCAAAAACGAGTCTCCCCAGTAACAAGCAACGAGTTGGAGGTGATGATCGAATTTTGCTAGTACTTCAGATGTAATTGAGAAAGATGGAATTTAACCATAAGGCCATCCACTCAGATTTAGAAGATGTAGAAAAAGAGCTCTGGGATGCATCGGTGGCATACGATCAGTCTCTGTCCGATTTGGAAACTGTTTTGATGATGACAACTATGATATGGAAATGACAGCGGCTGAAACTCTTCATCATTTGCACAACATTGGTGTTTTGAACGGGAACGTCTCAGATGATATTTAACCAGAGGACGCAGTTCCTTCTCCACACGTATACATAGTCCCCCTGCGCAAACAGGTGAAGATCAACCTTCACAGGCATATGCATTTCGCACTTCACACACTGGGGGTAATTCTGTGTCTGAGAGACAAAATATTCAATTCGGCTCCAAAACAAATATACCTGATCAAAGCCAGCGTTACAGCAAAGAATTGTCTGAACTCATACAAAAGGCAGGGGCATGGCGGGGGTTTAATATTACAGAGAGAAAAAAATTTAACGGTGTGGAAATAAGAATATAAGTGCGAGTTATTGCATGCTCTAAAACATCAGTTAACAGAAATTGTTGATTTTTCATCAAGAGCAGCTGCTCCTGACAGTCAGCTAAATGTGGTCTTGAGAAGACCATCCATGGCGAACGATACGTGTTGTGTTCTAAATGCTGCTGACTATAATGCTTTGACATTTCTGAATGAAGTTGAACAAATTATGTAGAGTAATTCCAGAATGAGATCTGACAGTGATTTGGATATTGTTGTTACAGTGGCCATCAACAAGCGCGGGGGAGGAGGGTTGCGGCTCAAATTAGGGAATATCCCTAATGAAATAAATGATTACATTTGTCAAAAGAAAGCAGCATGCCTATATGTCCCTACAAACGCTGACAACAACCTTTGTTTTTCTTAGTGCGTCTCCTGCTCTGTACCCTCACCTGTCTAAAGTACAACTTGGCCAGCATGCACAGCAACTCCAGACAGGGTTTAATGCAGACCATGAAGTTGCCCTGTCTGATGTGTCCAAATTTGAACGCTTTTTGGATGTTAAAATTATCGTGTTTCATCACAATCAAGGCACAAAGAAAGGATTTGTATCATATGCGAGAACAAAATCACCAGAAGACAGTATGGCTGTATCTGCACAACGATCACTTTTACCTGACAGAAAAAAAAGAGAGAGAAAAAAAAAAAACTTTCATTTTTCGGGAGTTCTTATGTTTGTGATTTCTGCCACAAATGCTACTCAAACAAAGATTGCCATAAATGTAAATATTTTTGCAACATGTGCTTTTCTGATGTCATGTGCAGAGTACTACAGGCATTTGTTCAGACTGTGGCCGCATATACAGATCAGATTGTTTTAACAGACAAAACCGTGAGATTCAGAAAAGTACAAGGGCTTTACTTTATGTGATAAATATTGCAAGGACTGTGGTTTTCATTTTTCTGTAAAAACAGGCGGTGTAGGACACACATGCCGGAGGAGGAGTTGTGGTCATTGTGGGGGTGATTTAGCATTAGATGTTCAACGCCCCAGACTAAATGTGTTTTATGACTTTGAAACACAAACACTTGACCCGTAAGCACGAGGCCATGTTCGTATGTGCCATTGATTTTGAGAACGAGCGCTGGTGTGCCTCAGGAGTAGACTGTGTTGACCTCTTTGTGAAAAAATACAGGCAACCAAAATATAAAAATTACACCCACAACGCATCAGGGTTTGACAACTACATTTTGCTTGATTATTTCACAAAACAGGGTATAACACCAAAGCTAATAATGAGGTAGCAAAGCTTTTGATGCTTGATGTTGCATTCAGACAGAGATGGATTCCTACTGCTTTCTCCCTATGCGCTTGTCTAAAACACCTTCCGCTATGGGTTTTTCAGATTCACATTCAAAATAAATTTTTCCACATCTTTTCAACACTCCAGAGAATGTTAATTATGTTGGTTCATACTCTGATTTGCATTTTTACAGCTATAACAGTATGTCTGACTGTGAAAGAGCAAAACTCCTTGAATGGTATGACACAGTTTGCGATGAAACGTTTAATTTTCAGGCAGAGCTGAGGTCATATGGAATAAACGATGTCCTGCACAAAGCCTGCTTAGCATACCGCAAAGTATTCATCGGATGTACCAGTATGGATCCTTTTGATTACACTACCCTCGCTTCGTGCTGCATGTCTGTAGTCAAAACAATTCCTCCCTCCCAACACCCTGTCGTTAATGTATGACGGTGCGTACATGAACCCAGAGATGGGGACTTGAGTTAGAGACTCGGACTCGAGTGCGACTTAAGTCACACACACACACAGTGACTTCAGACTCGACTTGAGACTCGTCCTCAAAAGACTTCAGACTCGACGAGCGTCGTCTGTATGCTGGCACAGACAGTTTGCCGTTTGTGTCAAAGGCAGACGACTGGACACCAGAGACTGGGCCCTATTTAGGAGATCTTACTGATGAGATTAATGGAGACACCGGTGGCGATGACTATTTAGTGGAATTTGTCTCTGGTGGGCTGACAAAATCAGACACTATAGTAAGAATCTGTCCTTTGGTTCCAAATCCCATTCAATACAATAGGATTTTCACCACAGTATTTGAGCTTTGATTATAGCACCACCTATAAGCCGAATTGCACCAAGATTTTGAGGTGTCATCAGGGGCCCATGGGGAACAAATGTCCAAAATTTTGAATCAATTGGACTTGTGGTTATGGAGATATAAAATGAAAGTCAATGGGATTTTTTATGTCTTTGATCTGCAGTAACAGCGCCACCAAGTGGGCATATTTGGGTGAACTTTTGGTCTATGGAGTCAGGGGACCATTCTGAACAATTTCGGCTCAAGTTTCATGTCAATGCGGATTGAGGTTATAGAGGAACAATTATTTGTTAAATAGCGCCACTTAGGGGCCAGTAGCACCAAATTTTGTACAGCCCATCAGGGGGCCATGGCACACTAGCCAAATGTAAGATATGACGTCACTTCCTGATTTTAGTATTTTTCACAAACATTTGTTAGTTTATAATTCCAACAGTTTTTTGAGTATCAATCTGGGGGAGCACAAACCTTCATCAGCTTTCTAAAAATAGATTTCAGTTATGGCAATGTGGCAGAAATGGGCCTGGCCTATACCATGAGATTCAGCTGGATCCCCCGAACGCATAAATGTAAGGTTTTTGATATGCGCCTGTGTGAGTGTGAGTTCCAAGCCCAATCACAATTACCTTGTGTATAGCGTCCCCTAGAGGTAGAAGTGTGTGAATTTTTGCACTTGAGGTACTTGCAGGGGTGTGGAGCTACCCTATGAGTTTCGCAGCTGTAGCACTTACCGTCCAGGCTGCAGTACCACTTTTAGCGGCGGAACAAACAAGAGGGCGCCGTGATACCCAGAGTTCTTTTACCAGAGAAGAGCTCAAACATCAGGAGAACACCACCAGTAGATTTAATTCCGACTTTTCTCATGTCAGTGGAAATTTTGGACACTTTGGTCAAGGCTTCACTTTCCGCTGTTCATGTGGTGAGACGACAGGGAGGACGCTCGACTTTGTTTGTTTTTCCATTGCGGAAAAGTTGTACATGTACCTGCTTCCAGGTACTTTTCCTATTACCTTCATTGAGGTTCTAAGCGAGCTGAGGCGATACTATACTGAGGTGAAAACACGGCAGACTGCTGATGAGAGAATCGTCACTATTCACTGCGTCATTGTGCGTTCCAGACGGAGTAACCATGAACAACTCCGCCATTTTTAAATAGTTTGGCCAGAGGAGACTCCTCCTCCTCCATCAAACGAGGAGGTGCAGACTTTCCATTGTTTAGTTGCCGACGAGAGGATCCAGCGAGAGCTTGATGGGGCAATGAGGTACGAAAAAGTGTATCAAGAAGTGTGCTGTCCACACACGGCTACAAAAGGACATTCCAGCAATGTAGGGAAAAGTAAAGAAAACTGAAAAGTGACTACAGAGCTGTAAAGGACACAGTGGTTCAAGCCGAAAAAGCTGGAAGTGGTATGAACAGATGGACGGTATCTACGGCCATAGACTGGCGAGCAACGGGAGGGAGGGTGGACTTGACTCGGCCACCAGTTTGTTGGAGTCTCTGATGGAGGATGGTAAATGTTTAAGTTTAACATTAATTCTGTGGGCACACTCTGCTTGAGAGTTTTGTTTTCTGTAGGCTGGCTTTTGGAAAGCTAAAGCTCACTTATAACAGCGAGGACTACTAAGTCGTAAACTTGTGTCACCATGTCTTTTATGTAGCAGCTGTAATAATACATGTGAACAATTTAAAACACACAACCTTTGAATGACATGCGAGTTCAAATGTTAGCTACATTAGCATAACTTACTCTCTTGCGTTGGCTTTGAAAACCCGGGGTCGTCTCGTAGTCTGAACTCTGTAGTAATTCCCAAACTCTACGGTTGTTTTTCAGCAGCGTTTCATTTTGGTGCCTTCAGCTTCTCCTGAAACAACATTTGTCTTCATGCTGTGAGAAAGCCGAGGATCAAAAACAGCATTCACTTGATTTCCTCCATTGTCGTGTGTGTGTGTGTGTGTGTGTGTGTGTGTGTGTGTGTGTGTGTGTGTGTGTGTGTGTGTGTGTGTGTGTGTGTGTGTGTGTGTGTGTGTGTGTGTGTCTCTCAGGTGTTTATCGCATAGAAGATTACGTCACGGCAGTTTCCTGCTGCGTCGGTATGATGACCAGGTACTATTGTGGAGGTGCTATCTGCATTGGAAAATGAAGCGCAAAGCGAGTTGAGGCGAGTCAAGCTGGTATTGGTGATGGAAAAGCACCAAAAGTGACCAACCAGAGAGGGTAACACTTTGGATCACTACACCACAGTTAGCAGTGCGTATCACACTGTCCCTCGAGCTCTACTGGGACACTTTGACCACACAATGGTTCACTTGATTCCTGCTTACAGAGAAAAATTAAAACACTGTAAACCTGTAGTAAGGACATCAAAGCAGTGGACCAGTGAAGCTGTAGAGAACCTCCAGGCGTGTTTGGACTGCACTGACTGGGATGTTTTCAGGTCTGTTACCAACAACCTGGGGGAGTATGCAGAGGCTGTGACGTCCTATATCAATTTCTGTGAGGACAGCTGCATACCAACATGCACCAGGGTGAGATGTGAGACAGCTGTACGCAGAAAGATTACAGCACCAGTTCTCAAATAATGATGCTTCTGTCTATAGAGGCTTCAGATCACCAGCTACAAACCTAAATCCTCCCACCCCATGAACGACTCAAGCCTTGCCAATGATGAAATGTCGTTTTGAAAGACAATGGGACAGACCTGACACCATCCCCCATCACACCACTGATCGGCCACAGTCCTCTATCTCATCCTCCACCTCCTACCCCTCTCAACATCCTGGAGAGGGATGTCAGACTGTTCAGGAGGCAGAAACCTCGCAAAGCAGCTGAGCCGGACTCTGTCTCCTCATCCACCCTGAAGCACTGCGCCAATCAGCTGTCTCCGGTGTTCAGACATTTTTAATACCTCGCTGGAGACATGCCATGTGCCAGCCTGCATCAAAGCCTCAATCATCTCTGTCCCCCCCAAAAAAAACAATTACCACTGGACTAAACGACTACAGACCCGTCACCCTAACCTCTGTGGTTAAGTCTTTGAGCACTGTAATGGGAATTCCATGAGTACCAGCTCCAAACACAGTCATGTAATTACAGTGTGGGAGGATTTACTGGTGTCCTTTTTAGACCGATTTCATATTTCATTATTGGTCCCTGATTCCAGGGTGGTGCCCCATAGTTATTAATGACAATTAATACATATAGATATTAATAATTTTATTAATATTTCTAGAATGATATTGATATTCTGTCATGGGTTGGTCTCTCTCCCCTTTTTTCCTTTTGTTCTCCGTTTCCCCGCCCCTGTTGTTTCTGTCAGTCATGTGTCTCTTGTCCCATGTCTGTGTGTGATTGGGCGTATCTGAGCCTGGCCTCTCTCCACCTGCAGCACTCCGCACCTGGGACTCATCAACTCATCAACGCCTCCAGTCTTAAGCTCTGGTTCAGTCTCCACTCGTTGCCAGTTCGTCCGTTTACCTACAGTGGTATTTTGCTCCGGCCAATTTCCTAGTTTGACTAAAATACCTTTTTGTGACTTTGCCTATCCTCTTGTTTCCTGTCTGCCACAGTTCCACCCTGGTGCGGTGTCGCTGCCAGCCTGCCTGTATTCTGGATCGCCAGCCCGTTGCTCACAGCCTGCCAGTCTGCCTGCCCGTCCTGACACTATGCAATCGGATCCCCCCGAGACTGGAAACTCTCCTCCGCCAGCCCCCCGAACTCCTTTGCCATCTCTGAGCTCTTTAAATAAAGTCCTGCCTGTGTGCCTGCCTACTTCCGCTCACGAGTCCTTTCTGTGATCCCTAACATATTCAGCCAATAACCAAACCTGATCGTGGCCCCAACAATGGCATATGGTGTGCGTACCATCACCATGTTTTATGAGCATTTTTTAATTTCTATTTTTTGATTGTGGTCCTCCATACTAGTCACATCTGGGGTCTGTACCATGAAGCAGGATTCAAGCTTAACAAGGTTACTTCTTCACTTCTTACCAGAGAAGATTGCCATGGTAGTTTAGGCTTAATCCCTAATCAGCTGTGGAGCTGGTTATGTTCCAAATAAGAGAACTCCATAAAAGCACCGCCTACTAACCAATCAGGTATCTTGGAAAATGACACCACCATCCATAGGAGATCCCATTAGAGTTAAAATGTGTTTCCCTGTCACTCTCATAAACAATTATAAAATCTTTGCCCTTATTTTTGCTAAGACTTAAAGTGTTGGACTGTAACAGATGAGTCAGTCTGGGTTCATGAGAAAACGACATATTGCAATTAGATTAGTACTGGACATATTAGATTATAATGTGCTTGTTAATGATAGTTTCACACTTTATTTTTACAAGGCGTTTGATTCACTTGAACACTTATTTTGAAAGGCCTTAAAAAACTTGGATTTGGAGATGGTCTCTGCAGCACTGTCAGAACCCTATATAAGAATGGCAGTAGTGCGGTCAAACCTGAAATTTGGCACTTCGCCTAGATTCAGTGTGTCACGTGGCATCAAGCGAGGCTGCCCAATTTCTCATTACTTGTTTTTGATTGCCTCACAACTCCTCGCTCTTCAGGTCTCTAACAGGACAGTTATGTCTTGGAATGGATAACTATAGCTAATAGACATTAGTCAGCTGGCCGATGACACCACTGTTTTCCTGAGAGATGTATTAGATTTAATCCATGGTTTCTCGCTGGCATCTGGTTTGAAGTTAAACTTGCGAAAATGTGAACTAATGGCAGTTAGAGTATAATGTCTCTTCTATGTGATATCCCTGTGATGGATCAGGTAACATACCTTGGAAGTGTTATCTCCAAACACCCAAATGCAAGAAGTCTGTGAAATTTTAACCCAATCCCTGACAAAACACACAAATTAAACCACTGGCTGCCAAAGGATTTATCTTTGAGAGGTAGAATATTCCTATCTTAAGCAGAAGGCATATCCAGACTCACTCACTTGGCTCTGTCTTTGGATGAAGACACTGTGTGAACCAAAGGATTGACGTGTTTAATTTGTGTGGAAAAAACACTCACGTTAAAAAGTCTGATTATGAACACTGCTCAGTGTGGGTTTGAATTTTCTGGACCTTAAAACACCTTCAAAATCAATTGGCTTAGACAATTCATTAATAATCCATTTTCGTTATGGAACTTTATTCCAAATGCAATCTTTTCCAACATTGGTGACCTGGACTTTTTTTTATTGTGTAATTATAATATCAGCAAAATCCCAGATATAAAACTAATTAGTGGTTTATTCCAAAAAGACATTGTGACTATGCCTTATGTAAATTCATATTGGAATAGTATAATAGAGAGTGTGCCCTTGGGATACCCTTTAAATATTTGCTTGAAGTTTGGTTTAAAATTGATTCACCGGTTCTACCCAGTAAAATCTTTAAAAGATATAAACTGAATATTGATAGTGAGTGTTCATTCTGTAAACCTGCAGAGGAAAATGTGTCCTATTTATTTTGGAACTGTTGTCACACAGAAATTCTGGCCAGACATGTTGGAGTTCATTCAGACTCATCTCATTCTGGATATTTTGTTTTAAGGAGGTTGGACTATTTCATAACAAATCTTTTATTCTTACTTGCCAAATTCCATATCAAAAAATGTAAGTTTACTGGTTCTAAACCATTCTTCCCTGTCTTTGAGTGAACTAGATGCATATATGGATGCCATAATATTCCAAAAACTGTAAAGCTCAAAAAGGACTGTACAACTATATTCAACACTTGACCTCATGGAAGTGACTGATACTGGAACTTGAGAACTCAAGTTGGTGCCTTAACCTGGACTTTCTCGTCAGGAAGCCTTAATGAATGTTAAATTATTTTTGTACCCCTGGACAATGAAATGTTGTGTTGTTATATGTTGTGTCATTTTATGTTGTATATATTTGATGACCTTCTCAATAAAGTCAAGTAAAAAAAAAAAAAAAAGTTTATAAACTGTTTTGTTTTCTGCGGTGATGCCGAGGAACTTTTTATTGCTATATTGCCCTACAGAAAATGACAGAAGTAGGCTACTAAAGCCTTGTAGTCTAATGTTGACCAACCAATAGGCAAGAAGTTGACCCCTTGAGACACAGCCCCCCTCATAATAAAGCAGGAATGTATATTGAAATGTAAAAAAGGAAGACACAAATAAATGTTTGGGGAAATAAATAGGGTAAAAAAGGCAACAGGAAAAAAGACAAATATTAAAATTCATAAATACATACAAGAATTAAAAAAATTGGAAATTATAAAAAGGAAAAGAAATACAACAAAAAGGTGTATACATAAAGAAGCAAATTAAAAGAAATTTGTCATAATAATAATACTACTAATACTAATGCATACATTTTAATGTATTTTTGGTGCATTTAATAGGATGTTACAGCATTTAATTTCTGTATTCATTTTTGCTTGTGAAAGACTATCCTCCATACAATTTGACCTGAATCCTTCAATACAATTGCAATACCAAGGGTTGGCCAGCAGATGTCACCATGTTACTTGTATCTTATGCTTCACAGTGATCAACAATTTTCAGGACTGTTGCTTTAAAGTGATTCACTCTTTTCAGAAAGCTTTGTTTCCTAATTCAGCAACTAGCCTTTGCCCTGGAAGGAGCTACAAACTAGTTCTTTTGTAAGCTTTTTCCACATAAGACATGTGGAAACAGGAAAGCGTTAACAACAATGTGTGCTGCTTCAGTTTCAGGGTCCTGGTATTGCAGATGCTGTGAGGTGGTCACGGAATACTTGAACTGAATTAAGTGTAGCTAATTGTTATTAATAACACCTGTACTTTTCCTTCTATCAACAATAAAAATGTCTGCTGTGAAAAAGGCTTTCTGGCTGGGTCTGGTCTAAACTGAAGTGGACCATGCAACAAGCAAGTGTCTCCAAATAAATGATTCAATGTTAAATCTCTGTCATGCTTTCTGGTTTCCAGGTATAGCTACAATTGAAAAGCATTGATTGTGACAGATTTGTTTAAAGCCCATTTTCCAAAAGATTTTGGCTTCTTCTCATATGTTTTGGTTAAGTCCGGTCAGGCTTCCTTAGGACAACCTTTCTCTCATGGCCAAATTCGGGGAGGTTGGATCTAGTGTCTTTAGCCTCAAACTTCTTGGTGACATTGTATTTAATGAACGGCATCATGCTTTTATTTCTTTGTGAGGTCTGTAGTATACACAGTAATGGAAAGAAACAGAATGATAACTCTTCTCTATTTAAACAGGTTTACTGATTATATTACACACACACACCTGCCACTCAGCACAGGTGAGTTTAATTGACAGGAAAATCACCCACTTGGAATCCCAGTATTTTGTAAAACCTCTAAAAGGTACCAATAACATTGTGCAGTACCATGTAGGATTTGTGTGTGGCATAAATATCTTTGTTTTGTCAGCTTTTTTTTTTTGTTGCACTGCAAACCAAAGAAATATCAATACCAAAGTATTTTTAGCACCATTCTATATTTATTTTAGCAAAACTTTACATCAAGCCAGAGGTTAAACCAAAGTAAAAATGTCAAATCCCTCTCTTCTGGCTGGTCCTTCATTTTAAGTTGTTAAACAAAACAGTGCAACAATATATCTCTTGTTTTTGTTAATCATAGATACAAACAGTTGCAGGAATAGTGCAAAATTACACCAATCTGGTAGACATCAAATATGGTTTTGAGTAGGGTTCTACATAATGCAATTTTACAAGAATATTCATACTAATACAGAAACTGTCTTTTCTTTTTTTTAACTGGATCTGTTAAAATTTTATGTGACAGTTCAGGAAATTGGACACTGGACAATTATTGTGGCCCCATGGACATGCTGCTGTAGCTTTCTGCTCAGAATTTGATTGTGTTGGGATACGTTCAGTTCTTGGATTGTTATCCCTTAAAATACTTTTGGTTATTATTTGTAATACATAAAGGAAATGTTTCAATGACCTGCACAATTCATTGTGCTGTGTATTTTTTTCTTTACTTTTTATGGGGCAAAAACATGTTACGTTTTATGTGCTTATGTAAGAGAAGAGGTTATTCATTTGGTTTGTTTGTACTATAATGAGATGAGAGCAGTGTTTTGTTCATGGGCCTATTTGGGGCCACTCAAGACAAAATATAACCGTGTGCATCTGTAGCAAGTGTTAGTGACGTGGTTTTAATTTATGCTTTTTATGCAGTTTTAATATTTAATATTTAATTTTTACATCAAAGAACATTAATTTAAAATCAAATTGTGTCTAACCCTGTAGAGTTTGGTTTACAAGCCAATATTCCTGGTGCCACCTGGGGAGCACAAATCATTGCCACATAACCTGTGCAAATTCCATCACACAACCAAAAGCTACCTGCTGAGCCTTTAGAGGAGTACTCTGGGTCCAGAAAGGAATATCCATTCACTATGATGAAATTCAAGTTATGTAACAATCCATCTTGGCTTACAGAATTTAGTTATTGTCATTTTTAATAGCAACAACAACAAGCCCAGAGGTGATGTAAGTCTACTGTAATGTGTGTCATTAGGTCCTCTACGGTGACCTCCCCAGTGTGTCACTTCTATGGTGAAGAGGCCTCAGGGAATTGGACTGGCTGCAGCCAGACTTCATACAGTTGTTTACTGTAGGTCCCATTGGCTACCGTCTGTTGGCCTCAATGGATGTGCCATTAACCACATCATTCTTACATCACTTAGTAAATTTATCCAGAATATTCAATTTCGTATTTATTGTCTGTCTTTATCTGCCAGTTGTCATTAGTAATTGTTGACACT